TTTTTTTTCTGTCAATCGTAAAATGTGGTCCATTCACAGTACCCAACAACTTATTCAGTAGTTAGTGGCAAAAGCATATCAGTGAAGAAGAGCCGCTAACACATACACTGTCAATTTACACTTTTGAAAACTTACCTGGATCCTCAGAGTTACTCGTAGGTCCATTTGAATAATCATAAACACTTTCTGCATCAAAAACTGATCTTTTCTTTAATTGATGTTTTAACAATTTTAGTGCTGATCTTTTTTGAGTTCTTTGTAATTTGAATTCCAGCTCTGTAGCAGGTCCATCAAACACCGTACATGTTAAACTTTGTGGCTCATACCTGGTTTGCACAGAGAGAAATAACATTGGATTATTATGACACTGAACTAATAAACACTAGGATGAATCACTGGTAACATAGTGGTTGTACTTGACTCATGATCGGCAGACCAGAGTTACAGTCATACCTGGCTCAATGGGAAGGCCAAATCTAAAGGCTGATACTCATTCCCTTATGAATACCACTTTAGGAGAACATTGGTTCAACTGGGCCTGGTTGATGCTAGAATAGTGCATTGCTATAAAGGTATTATAATAAAAAGATGGCACAGAGCAATGTTATGCAGTCCAAAATTTGGAATAATGAATTTTGTGGTGAAATGCACTGTCAATTCAATGAATGAAAATTAAAAAATAAACATATGCTTGCAGGAAAGGAAGTGAAAACAGAGAAGGAAGTACTGTGGAATACTTTATTTTCGCTGGAATTAATTTTCGCTGAAAAGGCTTTTTGGGCGTTCTGTATGGAATTTATTTTCACTGATTTTTGATGAGTTGAATGTGAAATATAGGAAAAAAAGTATATTCGCTGGATTTTATTTTCACTGAATCATCCCTTCAGCGAAAATAGCGAAAATAAATTCCAAGCGAAAATAAAGTATTCTACAGTATATTCTTTTCCACTTACCCATCAGCGGATGCTGTAATAATATAAGTACCAGGAACTAATAACCTCCAGAAATCACCATACATGGAAGTAGTAATGTCATGATTTATTCCGTCTACACTAATAATGGCGTCTGGTAACCCACCATAGTCTCTACTGTCCATCACAAATCCCTTCACACCAATATGCACCTACAATAGATACAATAGATATTCTGTAAAATGCTTTTATGTTTTGGGAAAATTATATAGCTATGACAATTTCATAGTGGTTCCTTAAGCAGGGGTCATAGTGACGATGTCGGATAAAAAACTTATTTCCTTTAGTTTGGGGGTGGGGGGTGGGGGGGTTGACCTCAAAAA